GCTCCCCAGAGCAGAGATGTCTCTGCTTTTCCTACCAAACAGGTAATAACAACCAGAGCGTGTTTCTCCCAGGCAGCAGAAGTAATTCAGCCCTCTGCCTGCAGAATGTGCTCCAGGGGTCCAGGCAGCTCAGCATGGCAGTGCAGCTCTTCTGTGCCACTGGGTCCACGGGGGTTTCCTTCTACCAGCCATGGTTGGGGGCAGCTCTGTAACAGTTCTCATTATTTCAGCAAAACCCCTGCGGTCTGTTGTCCTGCTGACACGCAGCCTGCAGCAGGAGAGGCAGAGCTGGCAGCAGGGTAGAGAGACTGATGGAAAATCCCATCTGGTTTAATTTTGGGAAGCTGGAAGCAGATGAAGGTGGCAGGAAATGTTGTCTAGTGTGTGTGCGGGCAACCGATTGCATTAACTTGAGCTTGGAAACACACTTTGCCTCGCAGCTGCTTGGTGTTTGTCACTACAGAAATGGGGGGACCTCTCTGGTGCGCAAATGAAGGTGTGTGGCTGAGAGGCTGAGAGCTTGTCTCTTTGTGTTTTCCAGTACCCATAGTCCTCAAGTACCATACCTGACGAGGCAGCTGGAGGCTTCGGTGGAGCTGGCTCTGGGATAACCAAACTGCTGTGTAATTTAAGTGAGATATCTGTATATAGCTTTGAAGTTGTTTTTCTCCAAGGAGAGAGGAGGTGGCGGCAAGTAGCCAGTTCTAACAGAGCGTTTTAAGAACTGCCAAATGACCCTTTTTTTTTTTTTTTTGAGCACCTGCTCCTGCTGTCAGACTTTTTTTTACAACAGAAGATTCAGATCCCAAACCGCCTGTTTTGTGGAATTCTGTGTCTCCGGTTTGGAGCTGGCTACTTGCCACTATGGTTTATCTGTATATATGGTTTAGTTGTAATATTAATAATAATGTTTCAGCAGTTCCCTGCTGCCCGCTGTGGAAGGCAGAGGGGACTCTGTCCTTTCATCAGAGGAAAAGAGGGAGAAAAATGTCTGCAGAGAAACATACCACTACGTTACGGGGAACTGACCCTTCTGTGGAGAACTCCAAGGGTGTTGTTTCTCTCTTGTTCAAAAAAAGAAAGGAGGGTGGGGGGGGAAGAAGTAATTAGGTTTTACAACCCAGAAGACTTTCTGGTCCTGCCATGGGAATGCACAAGCTCAGTGTTTTCAGTATCGCTGCTTACAGCTGTGACTAAAGACATTCCAGTAAACCTATTTTTGACTGTACATCTGGAGTTCTGCATGTCTTCATAGTGTTCTGGAGGAAATTCAGGGCTCTCCACTGCCAGGAGTCCCTAGGAAAGGGCTGTTTCAGGGTTGTCTTCACCAGAAGGAATAAATGTGTGTAAAGCCCAGCTATTAGCCCAATGATAAAAGAGACACGGCAGGAGGACAGCAACACTCCTGAAACCAGTCCAGGGTGAACAAGCCCATTTCTTATTCAAACCCCTTCACCTTGATGTGGTGGTTGCAGTCCCGAATGCCAGCCCAGTTTGCTTACTTGTGATCCAGTGGGGTGGGGGTTGTTCCCAGACAGATGCGCTGGGGTGCTCAGGGAGGTGTAAGGACCCCTGTGCTGGACTGAACAGGAGCTGAGCTCCTCCATCCATGGGTGGGACTGCTGCATTTGGGCTGTCTCCATCCTTGGTCTCAGGTGTTGGTGGCATTTCTGTCTGCCCTTTATTTTTGGGACTCTTGTTCCTTCCAGCCCTGAGCCTGGGACTTTAGCTGAGCTGAGATCAGGGTCGTCTTCTCTTTTTGCTGTCAATTTTCTGATGAGAGAAGCATTGTCCTGTTTAGGGCATGTCTGAAGTAATGTTGGAGAGGGGAAATGGTGCCCCAGTGAATTCTCAGTGCCATGTCCCAGCTTCCTCTTCTGAACCTGCCCCGGGACCTTGTACACAGTTTCCAGCTGAGTGGTGGTGCTGCTCTGTGCAGAGAGAGGATTAAAAGTGAGCACAGCAGGCTGGAGGGTCGGATGTGATTACAAGCTCTGCTTGCCCAGCTGGAATATAAATAGGGCTTTTCCCCTCTGTGGGCCCTGGTCTCTCCAGGTGGGAACCAGAAAGACAAGCTGGGTTTTGCCTCCTGATGTGTAGCCTCGTTTTAAGATCATACACCCAGTGGAAGGGACAAAAATCACCGGGCCTTTGCCCTTGGCTACTCTCTACCTGCAAGGGAACTGCAGAGTGGATGAAGAGGGACTGTGTCTGTCTTCAGGGGGGCTGCAGGTCTTGCTGAGCTATCGGGTACCTTTTCCTGACAGCTGGAAAGTGAGTTAACAGCGCTGCAAGCATGTGTAATGTCTGTGCTG